GTAGATTCTGGGGGATAAACATTTACTAATTAGTTAAACACATCTAAGCTGTCATTAATCAGACAGCTAAATCTGTTTTAAGTTATGTATTTTGGTCGATAGCTAGATACGAAAGTTGTCGCCAAGTAAGAGCTGATCCTAATAATGGGCTCTCTCATTTACATTTTGTTCGATAAAAATATAATTTCTTATCTTCAACTGTAAAACCATTGAAAAATAAAAGGGATTGGATAGGTGTTACATGTTGATGATCATCGAACAAGAATTGTGACCGATCCTATAACATCTAGTTATTAAGGTGAGCACAACACATCTAAGTAATTAAAACAAATTAAAAATCGTCACATTAACTTTAATTAATGTGGGATACAACGTGATCTACACATAGTATCAGTAACAAATTGCTATTTTATTCTCTACTAGGTTGTCGTCACTGGCTACGGCTTACTACTATTGAATTAACCTTCTGTTTTGGTGTGTTTAAGAGGTGTGGCTAATTGAATTGATATATGTTTTTGTCTGATCCTGTTTCCTTTCCGACTGGCTGAACTCAGTACTATAGGCAGACAAAGTCCAGAAGTAGCTAATAATCAAGGATTTCCATATTATTCTGGGGTGTGGCCCCCTAAGAAAACCACCTGCTTCGGTTTGGGCACCCGGGTAGTATCACAGCCCTCACACACATATCGAATGAGATTTGTGTGGCGCATATGTATTTGGTGCCTCTTCGTACCATTATCTATGTGTTGAAATAATAATAATAATTATAGTATTTACGTTGAGTCTGGCCGTAATAAATACTCCATTGGTCATTTATTATTAGTAGTGGTCGCTCAACCCGCCCACAATCCCTGATATCTAAGAGAAAGGACGCATTATTGCAAAAATCAAACGAATAAATACATCCAGTACTTTTTAATTTCCTGACAGAATTCATCAGTCATTAAGACTGCTAAGATTAACAAGTGATAATGTAATGAATTTGTCTGTTTATCCTTAAGCATCTAGTCCATTCGAATATAATTCGACATAACAGATTTCAACAATGTGAAGCATATCTAAAACAGATAGATCATTATATGTTCCAAACCAAGTCGTTTATTCTGTTCTTAAAATATGTCCAATCACTGATTAGTTAGTAGCCCTACCACAGTTAAACAATGCTTTGAAAGAATTTATGTATCTAAAACTTTAGTATTTTCATATTATCTTTTGAAGCAGAAACTTATGCACGTAGAATCTAACCTGGTGTAAAATTCCAAATCTTCGACAGAGAAGCTAACTCCGCATCTACACTGTGCTGTGTGATTTTTTGAACATGAGTGACCTATATAGGCAAGTGACTTGGAGAGTTGGTAGGTTCAACCTCATCGCTCTCTACTGTCGAATCAATCATGAAGCTGGGGGAAATTATTGACCATCGTTTTGCATCCAACAAGTAAACATGTACCACACATTTGCAGGTCTTCCTTTAGGATTTTCTCCAGCATCTCCATTAAACAGTTTGTGTTCCGCGAGTTCATGGAAAAACCTCTTAATAAAAGACTAAATCCTATCAAACGAAAGAAATATCACTTGAATCACACACATGGATTCAAAAAAATACAGAATTGATGGAGGTTGCTAGATGTAGTTAGTCTAAATAGTAGCTTATCATAGACCCTGTCCGAGGAAATCACTCATCCTGTTTTTCTCCTTCACTTTATTTTATTTTGCAACAGATATCCTACAAGAAGTGATTTTATTAGTAAGATTTCTCAAATATTTTATCTAGAAACTCTTTTATAGGTTTGAAGTACTCAAATGATACATTTACGTTCTAAAGAGGCGATGACATAACGGTTTTCGGACACTGGGTGATGATAATTAATTAGATGCAGTTTCCTCCCTTCAAATGCAAAATATTGTTTCAAACCTAACAGATTGGTGGATAAGTGAATTCAAGCGCACACATAAAAATATAGAATAAGTTTAACAAGAAACATCATTTATCGTTCGCGTAAGACGTCCATTTGCCTTTCAAAGGGGGATCATGCTGAACAGCAGTCCACTTCGCATTACTTTACAGTTGCAGAGGTATAAAGCATGTATAGCTTATTTGTATTGAACTGCAACTGCCTTCAATGAGCCTCTGATACACTGTGAAATGATGGATTTAGATGTGGAGTACTAAGACAAGGTGATAATTTAGTTAGTATTCGTATGACTTTTTCAGTTGAGACATCTGCTATCCTTACAGATACATCATGTACGCGTTATCGTGGGTAACATGGATTTACATCTAAAGGTTTAATACAACTTGACAAAGATACGGGATTAATTCATTCTATTAGTTCAATTAGCATAGAGCTGAAGTCTTGATTGTAGGTGGTTTGAAATACAACAGTAACCATAACATTAGCATAAGTAGCTCAAAAAATGTCATGTCGGTACAGACACATTCATTTTCCTAAATCTTGACCGTATTATTATACCTGCAATTAACACCTACTAACCACAGTTAAGTGCTACGACTACGTTACTCCTTTTCAGTGTTCATTGGGAAAACATTGTTATTTTCAGCTTATCTTTTTGCAAATTTAGTCTCATTTATGCTGAGGTGAAATGTGGTAATGTAAACTGATGTATACATCTGGAATTTTCTACGTCGATTATATCTATTTGTTTGACGCTTTTCAATAAAAGATGCTATCACAAGACCTCTCGATCAACGCAATCGGATATAGTCTTAGTCCGTTGAGGTTTATTATGTCTCGAGACGATGATTGGTCAATACATTTCGAGCCAAACCTGAGATGTATCTGATCTACCCAAGGTTTCCTATCCCTATGTTCTGATCAAATGTCTAATAGGCAAAGATGCTTAAAAACCATGCTAGTTAAGCTAACTCTTCTGTGATTATCATAAAGTGATCAGTGTTTTTTCTCATAAACTTAAGTTGCCAGCGATTGAAAGCATGGAATTATGATCATCTAACCAGCACGGCCAAGTTGTAGTCCAAAGTCGTAATCTACAAGGACATCTAAAGTGAAATCGAAGAAGACTGTTATCGTAAACACTTCAAGTGCTTTGTGACTTTCGAAATCAGAGACCAAGGGTCAGTATACCATTAATGTCGATAGTACGAAACTGAAAATTAACTAATGATCAGCTTAGCTAGTTTTAGGTATCCTATCAATTGCTCTAGTAATATGGTCTTGGAATACGTTGCCAGTTTAGCTTTCCGTTATATTCTCAAGCCTCCGTATGTTTAAATATGCTCTTAAGTCTGTTGCTATTATATCAGAAAGTAACTAACCAGAAGGCATCAGTGTATGACACCAAGCCGTATTTATTTTGCTTCTCAAGCCTTAGGCCAAAAACAGATGGGTAACATAAGTATTCCGAATCCTCAAGTTAGTGAATATTTAAGGCTTCATTCGAACTAAGTAATTCAAGAACGTTCAAAACACTTTGAATGAAGATATATCCAGAGCCCTTCCAATGATAAGTGTCAAAAGAAATAAAGGTACATGCATTATTTAAGGATCTCCAACTCTGGTTAGTGATTCGGAGCAGCTTTTCTTAACAAAGGGCCTCGAACACAACTCCCAACCCTTATCCTTTATCCGGATTTAGACCGACAGAAGTCCCAGATGAGTTTCAGGACGAAAGATTTCCGTAATGTAAGATGTTCAATGATACTGCTAGACGAAGTTATTAAAATTATAAAATGAAACTAAAGAAGATCCTACTAGTCGTAAATAAAAAATCCAAGCTAATACTTAACCAGTTAACGCCTAAGAGGAATACTGATATCCTACGTCTAAGGAGACTGAGATTTTCTTGTAGCCTAGAAATTAAGAACCAGTATAGACTGAAAGTCTGTTTATACGTTAACGGACGACTAATAAGCATTATCAATCAAACTATTGAATAAACTAACAGCAGTGTTGTAAACAAACGTGATAATACCAGACGCTCTATTTACTTTCAGGTTATCGAACTGTCGCACGACGGCTATTGATACTAGGTTTGGGCGAAGACGTCATGCCCCAACTTGTAAAAACTAAGACGATGCTGACACGTTAGGCATGACAAATTGCGCATAACCGCATACCATGCACGACTACGTTATCACACTTATATTTGACGAGGTTGGGAAAAGTCGATAGGGCAATGAGACAAATGACATCTCAATCATGAAGAGCACCTGGAAACAAACACGCTAGTCCCGTTAAAATAGCATCAAGTCACGCCGCAAAACTTGCTAAGATATTTATCTGAAAACTGGTTTTCAGTAAAGATACCGGTCAACAGTCTGGCCGATTATCATTGAAAAGATGAGCTCACAGTGTCTTTAACCTCCTGCGCTTGGTTCACCATTCACGTCCCATTCTCATGGTAAGACGACATTATCAAAACAATACCCAGGTTATCAGTAGTAACTGCAATGGTGACAAAAGGAACAAGCATCGCAAATAGCTTGAGGAAGTATAGACTAATAATTAAAACTTCGATTTAGAATCAAAGGGAAGATAACGCAAACGCGCCCGGGCTACTGCGAACTGCTTTAGTCTCTAACCACTGTTAAAAACGATTACTCGAACCTCAGCCAGGTAGTCTGTACTCACGCACATGTTACCCGGACAGTCATGAAGAGAATATATATATGGCTAATCTAGAGCATGTAAACTTTTCCACGAGAATGTTACAAACATTAATTGCTTGATGACAGGACCGCACGTACACTTCAACATACGAGTCCGGGCAGGCAATAACGTACGACATGCATTGAAGTTAGCAATGCGATTAACGCAGTAAGATCAAGGACGAAAATATGCATACAAATCAATACGACACTAATCCTAATAAAATCAGAACGAAACTTACTATATTCAGGAAACTGGCACAACATAACTCGATAGGCCTAATTGCATAACACCAGCAAATCTACATTGATTAGAAGTCGCAGTTACACTAGACACACACACATACGAAGAATCAAGAACAAAACAAGTAGAGAACTAAGTTAAATTAAAAGTTTATTAAGGTAAATGAACTGAAATAAAATTAACCTCCACGAAGACGTAACACCAAGTGAAGAGTGGACTCTTTCTGGATATTGTAATCAGACAATGTACGACCGTCTTCCAGCTGCTTCCCAGCAAAGATCAGACGCTGTTGATCGGGTGGAATTCCTTCTTTATCTTGGATCTTAGCCTTCACATTCTCAATAGTGTCACTCGGTTCGACTTCCAAAGTGATCGTTTTACCAGTCAATGTCTTCACAAAAATCTGCATACCACCACGAAGACGCAACACCAAGTGAAGGGTGGACTCTTTCTGGATATTGTAATCAGACAATGTACGACCGTCTTCCAGCTGCTTCCCAGCAAAGATCAGACGCTGTTGATCGGGTGGAATTCCTTCTTTATCTTGGATCTTAGCCTTCACATTCTCAATAGTGTCACTCGGTTCGACTTCCAAAGTGATCGTTTTACCAGTCAATGTCTTCACAAAAATCTGCATACCACCACGAAGACGCAACACCAAGTGAAGGGTGGACTCTTTCTGGATATTGTAATCAGACAATGTACGACCGTCTTCCAGCTGCTTCCCAGCAAAGATCAGACGCTGTTGATCGGGTGGAATTCCTTCTTTATCTTGGATCTTAGCCTTCACATTCTCAATAGTGTCACTCGGTTCGACTTCCAAAGTGATCGTTTTACCAGTCAATGTCTTCACAAAAATCTGCATACCACCACGAAGACGCAACACCAAGTGAAGGGTGGACTCTTTCTGGATATTGTAATCAGACAATGTACGACCGTCTTCCAGCTGCTTCCCAGCAAAGATCAGACGCTGTTGATCGGGTGGAATTCCTTCTTTATCTTGGATCTTAGCCTTCACATTCTCAATAGTGTCACTCGGTTCGACTTCCAAAGTGATCGTTTTACCAGTCAATGTCTTCACAAAAATCTGCATACCACCACGAAGACGCAACACCAAGTGAAGGGTGGACTCTTTCTGGATATTGTAATCAGACAATGTACGACCGTCTTCCAGCTGCTTCCCAGCAAAGATCAGACGCTGTTGATCGGGTGGAATTCCTTCTTTATCTTGGATCTTAGCCTTCACATTCTCAATAGTGTCACTCGGTTCGACTTCCAAAGTGATCGTTTTACCAGTCAATGTCTTCACAAAAATCTGCATACCACCACGAAGACGCAACACCAAGTGAAGGGTGGACTCTTTCTGGATATTGTAATCAGACAATGTACGACCGTCTTCCAGCTGCTTCCCAGCAAAGATCAGACGCTGTTGATCGGGTGGAATTCCTTCTTTATCTTGGATCTTAGCCTTCACATTCTCAATAGTGTCACTCGGTTCGACTTCCAAAGTGATCGTTTTACCAGTCAATGTCTTCACAAAAATCTGCATACCACCACGAAGACGCAACACCAAGTGAAGGGTGGACTCTTTCTGGATATTGTAATCAGACAATGTACGACCGTCTTCCAGCTGCTTCCCAGCAAAGATCAGACGCTGTTGATCGGGTGGAATTCCTTCTTTATCTTGGATCTTAGCCTTCACATTCTCAATAGTGTCACTCGGTTCGACTTCCAAAGTGATCGTTTTACCAGTCAATGTCTTCACAAAAATCTGCATCTCAAAGTCTATTGTAAACTGAAGAACAAATATGGAATCCTTTCGATCTTGCTTGCTATATATACCTTATTTTCGGTTAATGCAACGCTACTTTCAATTTAGATCAGTAAAACAACATGCCTACAAAAGTGATTTCCGAAAATTGTTCTATACGAATCATACCTTGTTCATTTCGCTGTGAAAAGTTATTGTTAGCCAGCAGCTTTTTATTCACGTATTACATTCTCGAGTTAATGGATGACGGTATTCCAGGTATAAATGTAAAATAAAATTTACCATATCATCCATATGGGTTTTAGTTCACATGAAGCAACTACATTTTTAGAGCAGTTAATTATTGGGAATGTACTTCGTAACATCAGACTTTAAACGTCTGCAAATCTTTCTTATGAATGCTTCTGTACATTTAAATCAACGTGGAATCAATCGTTTTACTTTCCGTATTATAAAGCCCTGTAGAGTGTCTCACTAGCGTATGTCTGACCTAGGTGAGTGAAGTATTTCCAGATTCTTCTGGAAGTATCGTAGTTGAAGGACTCTTCATTAAGAAAACACGTAGATGTGCTATATTAAGGGATTATAATTGATCCGAAACTACAAGCAGACGCGAGATCTAAAGACCCAATCGACAACGGTTGAGAGCAAAACTTCACACAACTGCCCTCAACGGTTATGAAAATTTCGATTGACTGGGGTGTTACGACCGTCCAATTAAGTCGTGACTCTTGGATTTTGACCGATTATCACCACCGTCATTTATTACTTTCTTATCACTCAAATTAGTCAAAAGCTAACCATCATTCATTATAAGTGTTAAGATAAACTCCAGTGCTGAAATTCAGCGTGAAAATTCGGTTATGAACGGCGTAATCTCTTCTCTTAAACTCTAAGATTTCATATAATAGTCTGAAGATATTCGAACCTTTTCTAAATTAATTTCTCAGACCACATATATAACGGAAGAGATGAGTTCAGTAATGGAGATAATTCAAACCCGGAGAAAAATTAAGGAGCAACACAGGCTTTGACTACCTGGGGTTAGTGACTTTCTCAGGCTCAGGAATGAGAAACAGGTTGTGTGTGTGGTTAGTAACCCTAACCCGCAAGAAGGAATATTTCTGGGACACATTTAACACATAAATCATTTGAATCCTCCTTTGGGAGTTCCGTAATCTTACAACTGCTTGTGCTGAAATCTGAAATTCTTCAGGAGTCGCAAAACCGATGGGTGTCATAATGACCAGAGCGACAACTAATATCGAAACGTGATGTGTCCAGACAATATTGCGACCGTTCAGATCGTGATTGACTGAGGAGAAATAATCCGGCGACGATCGAGATAAGTGAAATCAAATCGAACCAAGCTGGACAAGAATATATATAATATATTTCTACATGTGCAGGTACACACCGTTTTTTACAGGCATGATCTATAAATTACAACATTTGTTGGTTCACAAAATGTTTCCCAACTTATTAAGTTTATAGTTGTTATAAAGTGAAATCGTAGAGCGCTTGCTGTAAACTATGACCTTGAGAGGACGCGTACATCAAGTTTGTTCCAAACGTCGGAAGTTTCATAGCTGTGCTCTCAGAGCAAGATTCTGAAGAAAAAAAAGAGAAACAAAAGAGCAGCAAGGCACTTGGATATGAACGCCAAACGTTGCTTAACATAGTGTAATAGAACGGACAGAGGTATAATAAATTAGAATAAATTCATATTATGTCTTGTTAGTGAAATGAAGTCAGAGGCTCCATATTAGAGAATGTACTAATAAAGAACAATGAGTTGTGATGTTTAACAAGTTGGAGTAAGCTCACACGAATGGAAGGAAGTCATGGCTGGTACAAGGAAAGCGGTTTATAAGAAGAGTGTGTATATAGAGGGTGAAGTGTTAAGAATATTAATGACTACATCTTTTATTGTCTAACTTTTTTTTCCTTTTTTGTTTGTCCGATGCCAGCCACACAATCCTAGTGTAAAAATCCGAGTTAGCATGTTATAGGTTGTCTTAGTAGAATAGCTAATTCAGCATAATATTAGAAACATGAGTTTGAGTGGTGAGCGTAGGAAAACAATCTATATCACAGATTGATTGACTTATTCTCAGTCATGAGGAGCCTGATACATACAAAATGTTCTGTTCCCACAAACACGGGTGGATTGAAGTTATCGCCCTCACCATCAATGCTTGCTGGTCAGTAACTCCACCCTCCCTCCTTTTGTGATGTTAGGCCCATTTAGGCTTATTTTTGTATATACGTCATACCTCGCACAATCCTCTGTTTCACAAACTGTTGGAAAGCACTATTTCTATAAGTACCATTTTACAAGCTTATCAGGCAGTTACAAGCTATGGACTGTGGGTAAAGCATCGATGCAGTGCCTCTGTTCACTATAGTATAAAGTATAGTTTGCCAATCAGAGTATAAGCGTTAAGAAGGGTATCTTGTAGGATAGTTGTTTATTTAAGCAGGCGGAAAAAGTATAGAAGTATATGAGTTGTGGATAAGGGAACGAGTGGAGAAATAATATTAATTGCTAGTCAACATAGTGTACTGAAGAGTAAAAAGTTAATACAGGATAAACAGGAAGGAACTCACAGTAACTTGGTGCTGATGTTATTTTCTGTTGTCCTAACCAGTTGATTGGTAACAGGCTCCATAGATGCAAGACCACTGGTAGTAGGCAGCCGATTGTGCGGTCCTCTTGACGTTCTAGGGTGGTAGTGAGTGTCCCTTATCGACCGAGTTTAGTTTAGCAGTAATGATAGGTCCATTGAGTTACCTGTTTACTTCAAGTGAAGAAATAGGGTGGAAAAAGTAATTAATACAACTGCGAAGTAGGAAGAATAAGGCAAACTGAGCTTGAAGTCCATTTTGGTCTAGACATGGAGAGAGCCTATGATGTCTGAGTGGAGCGCAGATGTATTCGTACGTGCAAGATCAGTGCAAGTGAGGGCTTGATCAAGCAGTTTTACAAACGTGTGTAATTCATTTGCCATGCGAGTTTCGGATTACAGTTGGGAGACAGTTGGGAGACGTGTAGTGCCTTTTTGTGATGGAGAGCTGCACCAAAGTTGCATAGAGAAGGTTTTATGGCATTATGGTGTCCAAGGTTCATGGCTCTTGGTTCAAAGAAACACTTGCATAAAAATGTCAGAAAGAACTACAATATATAGCTGTGTTTCATACTCTCAAATTATGGCAGCGAAGATTATAAAGCCCAGTTTTATGAAATACTGTGGGTTCTCTTTATCGTGGAGAAATATCCAGGATAAAAAGATTGCTCGGATGAGAAGCTTGAACTCCAAAGTAGAGATGGACATCACAAATGAAAGCACCATGGGGCGATAAGAACTGGTAAATAAGACTGAGAAATGCGGAAAATAATTGTAATACCACTTATCTATTCAAACGCTTATTGTTGTGCCTGAATATCCAAGTTCAGTACGGCTTAAGATGTTGCGGATTTAGAAACGAAAGAGCTTCTCTAATAAGACTGATTCTCTTCGTAAATGACAACAGTCAATTATACTCAGTACATCAAACCCCGATGGCAAAGTCAGGAAGAAAACGAAAATTGCAGGTAACCTAGTATTTGTAGTAGAACAAGCAACTCAGACGAAAGTGGTGCAAAATTTGTTACTGAAGTCGCAGATTATGACTTTTGAGCATGTAGAAATCTAGCGAAGTACAAAAACATGACAACCGATCAGAGAACAAAGGTCAGGCGGAAATCTAACTCGTAGAAATATGAGAGATGTAGTCGTTCCAGAAGAGATCTTAGCCCTTCTAATAAAACAAACTTCCTGTGGATTTTTGTGATACTGTTCTTGTTCTGCTTTGTGTCATTCTTGCTTCTTCCATTGGAAGATCTACACGTCCACGTCCAGGTCTGAAATAGCCTGGGTTATCAGGGTTTGCTATTTACGAGCACTAAACTAGGGTTAAAGAATAATCGAGGCTAATATTTCAGATATATTAATCAAATGAATTCCTTTGCGACTGTCACAAGACGGATTAGAAGATTAATAGATTGATGCACCTTTAACAACATGGTTATAAGTAACATCACTTTCCTCTTCAAGCGCTTTCACAGAGTAACATGGGTTTTACGAGACCACACTACACAGAACAGGATTGATCACGTTTGCATCGATAAAAAGATTCAGAAGTTCATTAAAGAACGTATAAAGAGAGGAGTCAACATAATTTCAGCTCAATTCCTGCTGGTAGCCAAGTTGAAACTGAAAACAAATTCGCACTGTACACCTGAGTAAGCAGTACTACGGTCTTTCTCCAAGAAATCAACTCATCGAATTCAATATAATTTTTAGTAACAAGTTCCGGACTTCACAACATCTACCAGAAAGAGAAGAAACCAATATAGATAACGATTGTGAAAGAAACTGGAGGGACAATAGCTTCAATATGCCAACAGGTACTGAGAATCAAGAATGGATCTCAGCAGACAATCCCGGCGAATTTTCAAAAAGGAGGACCAACAACAGCCAATCAGGAGTAGAAGCCAGGCGACAAGCTGAACATACGCTAGCAAGCAAGCAGATGAAGAGGCGGAAATATCCAGAAGGGCTGGCAACTACATCAGAAGAACCTGCGACATAAGAACATATCAGAGGACTATGTGGCACAGTCGAGGAACCATCAGAAACATACTGTAGACTAAAGTGATCAGTTAGGAATAGAGAATAAATGCCGATCACTGAGTTTCCAGAGTTGTGGAAAACGTGTAAAGAACGCTTTGCAGAGCTGGTGAATAGGCCAATGTCACTGAACTCACTGGCCGTCGCAGAAACTCACAAAAACCTCCCTGTAAGTGTTACCACACTAACAGTAGAAGATATAAGCACGACTATCAGACAAATCTTTTGATTTGTTTACCGGACAAATCAAAAATGCCAAAGAGGAAGGACTAGATAGCATGCCGATTGAAGCACTGAAACGATGGGGATAAGTAACTGTGAAGATTGTGAGATTTTCTTCGGAAGTCTTTGGAAGGAAGAACAATTAACAGCAGACTGAAAAAGTGAGTATCTTACCAGGATACCGAGAGAAGTAAACCTTGGTGAGAGTAATAACTATAGATATATCCCATTTCTGTCAATATCATACTGGACT